GCAGAAGAACGTGGGTGCATTAACTGAGGCTTGTCTCTTAATATCAATACCCTGCAGATATCATTAGCTGTTGAGTGTCGCCTAATAATGTTTGAGGGCAGTATTTGTTAGGGTTCTCTTTCGTTTCAAACACAAAGTTCTGTAAAAGTTGGCCATTATATTCAATCTTACAAGTTATAATCAAGAATAAGTATTGCTTTGAGTGTGTTCATATTGTCTCAAGAGTAAACCATTATGTTGCTGAGGTTTGAGTCACCTACTTTTGCATCCAGCCATCCAGCTCAAGTCTAAAAAAGGTTAAGAATTATAGATGTTTTCATTATTATGATCTGTTTTATCTTACAAATTAAATAGTAATAGAATATTGATCAATAATATAAAAACTTATAATGTATTTTTTCTTATTGGTAAAACTGCATATATTGAACAGCAGCCATTTATGTATAAAAACCCTTCAGACTTTACCACCACATTAATGTTTTTGAGAAGTGCCTCTTCTCAAAAACATTTCTTAGTATGAGTGAACTTGAGGGCATTTCATGATTTGTCTGTACAGATTAAATGTTAGTGTGGCGTTCAAGTGCAGGGCCAAAGGAGTTTTTGACATATAGGTTGTACCACATGGCTGATTTTAAAGGCCTTCCTTCAATTCTTTCATTGTTAATCTCAATAGACAATGTACAGAATATGTTCTGGCGTTTTGTTGCTTCTTTTGACACAAATAATTTGTTCTTAATCAATTATATTATCAAACTCTTTTTAGAAATTATGATTTGAATCCATATTTTTTCCATAATTCCATATTTTAAGTCCAAGGAAAAATATCCAAACTAGACTTGCTAGCAAAACACAAGTGTTTGTGTTCCCTTGCATACTGTTGCATTTCACCGTTTACCTGCATTTTCATCATCATGTATCATGTTAATATATTCTCCATGTGTTATCAAATTGATGAAAATGTTTTCTGCATTTGCTTGAGTCTCTAAATTGCTTGTGAGTGTTTTCTTGAGTTGCAGTATGCAAGGTTTTCTCAGCCACATTATTAATAGAAAAAGGGAGAACCATTCTTCTGTGTTTTTGAGCGTTTTCTTCTCAAGCTGTTACCAAAGCCGGCATTCACACATGTAGACATAGCACTGTAGTGTTGACGAGACAACTACTGAAATAGCAGTAACACGTGCGTGTATCCCTTTGAAATTCAGTGTAGCGCAGGTGTCATTTTCCACTTAAGCCAACACTAGCACAACACATGAATATTACACACACCAAAAACCTACAAACACTAATCCAGAGTTGCACCTACGCTACATGTCTGTGTCTTCACTGTAGGTCTGTGTAAATTGCTTTGCAACATCATGGAGGTTTGGTGAGAACTTACAGGTTTGAGGGAAAGTAAGCCCTTCAGGATGTTGTCTCGAACCATTTGAACTCAAGACAGCAAATAAGAAGGACTATTTAAAAACATACTCTACACAAATACACAACCCCCTTTTTCTGTACTCTGCAGGTCCAGGATCCTATAATGTGTTTGAGCATGGTTTAGCCCGGGAGAGTTTTAAAAAGGCATTTTTAGAGAGAAGCAAGAAGGGAGGCTTTGGCTCCTCTGCTGAACGCAACTCCATCTTCCACAACAAAGAATCGATAGAGGCCCCAAGTCCAGGACAGTATGAGGTAGGAAGATCCATCAATAAACCGGTCATTCATTTATTTTTCTTTATTTTTTTTTCTTTCTTTAGAGATACATGTCCTGATAATTAGGTTGAAATACAAAGCTCTGTCATGACTTGACAGAAAACTATATCCTCATTGTAATGTGTGTATGTGTGTTAATGCTGTGTGTTTGCATTCAGGCAGAAAAGAAGACAGAGGAGCACTACAAAAAGCAGCACACGGCAGTTTTCAAATCCGCCACAGAACGTCCGGCATTTTCATTACCGGCTAAAGTAAGCCTCTCCATGCTCTTTGTTTTCCTAGTTTCCCCTACTGTTGTCTTTGTCTCACTCTTATCCTCGCAACATGTTTCAGTTGTAAAGCGGTTGAAACCTACTTAACAGAAGAGTCTAAGATGGAGTAAAACAGCATTACGTGCCAAGTTTTTACTTTCATAAATGGGCCATCACAGTGGTAGCGTCTGACCCAGTATGCCAAGGGTCCTGTTTTCCAGCAGTTAATTTCCTTTGACTGCTTCTTTTCTTCTTTTCCCTCTTCCTCCTAATGCTCATTTATGCTGAAGAAAACAGGTCACAATTCATGATAATTACTTTTTTCCCCTCTCCCACGTTCCTTTCCCTTTTTGCTGTGATCTTCCTTGTTCCTCTCTCTCCTCCCTTTCCTGACGTTCAAACTGATGTTAATATAAACCTAATATATTCACTAGTCCTTTCAATCGATAAAAAAACTAATTAATTGCACAATTAGTTGTCATTAATTACGATTAATCCATTTTTTCTTCTTCTTAAGACTGAGGCTTGATTAAGTATTGTAATTTAAAGGTAAAATGTAATGACTTTCTACAAGTAATATTGAAAGTCAGTATATCTAAATTCAAATACGAAGGTTTAATCAGCCAAAAGTTTTCAGCCAAAGTGAACATTTAAAACACCATACATTCAGTGAGTGTCATTATTTGTAGGGCAGTGTGTTTTTAATGATTGCATCCTTTTTTAAATTTGAACTTGTCCCATTCCATATGCTAAAACCCTTGTCTTTTATATTAATTAATACTCCAGCATTATGCATACTGTACTTAAAATAACTAAATAGCAGCAACAATGGTGCTACATTTGAAAAAGTGACAAAGCTGAATTTCTTTACCCTGTGTGACACAGGATGGTGTTTACTTGCATATAAATAATGTGCTAATGAAGAAACACAGAGAAGCAGCTGGGTGTGAGGGTTTGCGATTGAATCTTTCTGACTCTAGTATTGAAAAAAAGGTTCTAGGAGAAAATTATGTAAATTTCCTGGTTAAGTGTATGCTACAGCATTTTAATATTCAAGATACACAGTTTGTATTTTCAAGTACTCGTCTGGGTACCAGCTGGTGTTTACTCTGATTAACTCCAAAGGTTAGAAATGTTATCTAAATCTTGAGGCAAAGGTCTCCAGAACTGATCTTAACACTGCAAACTAAGCTGCTCTCTAGAAAGACAGAGTTTAAAGGGTAATTCAGCACTTTTCACAGGGTGAGAAAACTGGGTGTACTGCTGCACATCAATGGGTTTGGTCTGTCATCTTGTAGCTTCCATACACATCTCTCACTCAGTTCTCACGCTGGTATAACTAACTTCTTTACAATAACATAGCAGCAGGTGTTTTTCTTCACATGCAGTCGTAGCGTGGAACACATTCACTGGTAACTGGAATACAGTTTTTCACCTACCCCAAACCTTTTTTTGGAAGTATGGCTTGCCTTTGTGAACTGTAATAGTAATAGAAGACGCTGTTCCCTGACTTTTTGTTGGGCATTGTGTATGTGTGTGTCCAAGTAGAGTGACAGCACAGCGAGACAGACAAACAGACAGACAGAAAGCACACCTTTTCTAACCTATCACCTTATGTATAGTTCTACATTAGAGACTACTTGGTGTAGTTTAGTTGGCTTTAATTTAATTATTTCAAATATAAGGATTCATCGCTACGATTTTTCTTTTCATTTTCTTCATATATGCGTACATGTAAACAGGCTTTAAGAAACCCGGTTATACGTATGCATGTATAGGAAATTGGGTTTCCAGGAGCAATATAGCTGGGAAATCAGATGTTGCCCCTCCCCTACCTCAATAATGGAAAACAGGTAGTTTACATGATGTTTAAACACAAAAGAAAGCAGTACAGGAGGAGAATTTCCACCCTTTGTGATCCAGTACTGAATGACCTGTTACATCTCTGAGAAGTGCTGTTTTGTTCACAGAAGGTATTTTTAATGTCTTACAAATAACAGCAGATTTGTGAAAATCTGTGAAAACTTAGAAAACAGCTGAGCTTAGGTCTCACCAGGCCCAGTATTTATTTAATTCAATTCAATTCAATTCAATTCAATTTTATTTGTATAGCGCCAATTCATAAACAGAAGTTATCTCAGGACACTTTTCAAATAGAGCAGGTTTAGACCAAACTGCTTTTAACAACATAATTTATCAGTCCTCACCGTCAGGACACAGAGCCCTGCTGGTTTTCATTCCTGCTGTCTAATCAGGGAGTGATTTGCACTTTGGACACTAAGTGAATGCAATTAACTACCTGGTAGGACATAAAACCGGCAGGACTCTGGGTATGGAGCAGCAGGATTGAGAACTACTGCCCCAGCGAATGAAAAGCGGAGCCTGAAAAACATACAGGTGTTACACGGGGAAATATCACCAAATACACTTGCATTAGTGAGTGAGCATACTATACATCTGCAATCTGCATTGGGAAGTTCACTTGCCTTCCTATGTAGTGAGGTCAGAGGTCAGGGTCATCTGGGGGAAATGAAAGTCACTTAAATCGCTGTGCCACCCGGCATAGTAGAAAAATAATCGTACAGTATGTCTCTGCAACTAATATACCACTTGGCAGAACATGCTGTCTGTTACAGTTTCAGTTTTTACACTTTTTTTTACACTACGTTTTTTTCTACAGCAGTTTGGAAAAACTCAGTCACCAGCTCGTGTGTATTTATACATTTGAATTATTGTTGGAGTGACAATGTTTGTGCATCCAGATAATGTGGATCACTCACATTTCGTGCATATCACAAATGAACTGTGATGAGACTCATTAGAAAATTGAGAATGATCCATTAGGAATTCTGGTGCCAATCGCCTCTGTAATAGTTTCTACCTCATATATCTGTCTGCACTGTTCGCAATTTTTCATGACAATGGCTGCGTGTATTTTTCTGTCAGGCTGCAGTATATTGTGCTGATGGATGATCTGGCTCACTCAGAACTCTTGGTGTGCTAAATCCTAATGTAGACAGTAGAAACCTGACAGCTGTACTACACACAGTCCGAGTAATGGTTGTGTTTCACATTGTCATGCACTGATATAGTGTAGCTACTGTATAGAACTGTGTGTTGGAGGTTGGCAAGTTCAAATGAGCCAGTGGTAGACCTAAATTATATGCCAGACACACAGTGTGATTAAATATTTAACAATGGCTTTAACTTAGTGCAATTCCCAGCAGCAGCACCTCCAGCTTCTTTTTGTGTTCCCACAAACATAATTGGCCGCACTGGCAAGTGGGGAGCTGGCGAGGTCAAGGTGAAAATAAGTGGCTGGCGGCACCATGTGTTACGGAGGTAGCACATGTCTGTCTGCGGACCTCCTCAGGCAAACAGCAGGGTTAGCAGGGACAACAACTGACACAGGGTTACCTACTAAAGTGGGAGAAAATGGGGGGAAAAAATGTGAAAAGACAACAATCGCTTATGGAACTGTTCTATAAAGATGCACTATTACCTCTGCATTTCCCTCCCTGTCTCTATTTTTTTCTTTCTGGATAGTACCACAGAGTGCTCCATGAAGAAGATCTGAGGCTACTTGTAATGGCCCCACACAGAGCCTCCTTTATGACCAGTTAATGAAAAATCACCCAGGGACGTCTTAGCTGTAACAGTTAGCCACATGCCGAGCTGCAGCCTAGGCTGTATCCCTGGTAACGGTAACCCACTGGGACGGATATTAAAAGTGTCTAATCAGGAAACAATCACCATCATGAGAAGGGGGTACAACAAGAAAGAAAAGAAACAGAATAAAAGCTGATAGTCTTTATTATTTGTTCATGTTTGGAAGTTTATGTCTTCTGTACTTTGTGTTAAAAGCTTCATCTAGCAGTAAAGGTCAACATATTGTTGAAGAAATTATTCACACTGCATGGCTTTTCAAATCAGAAATATAAAAGACATACCATGACAGCTGAAATGATAGAAGCTGTGTTGTGGGGTGCATTAAACACAACAGGGAGACCTGTTATCTGGCTTGCAGAGGATATTTAATCCATTCTTTCCTCTGTCATTGCTATTAGCCATTCTGCTTTTTCTTTTCCATTTCTTTTGTTTCTCAGTCTTTGTTTTGTTTCGAGGTAAAGTCCAGTCTATTTAGTTTATTTGTTTTATTGGTACTGTGAGTTTCAAGTCCGTCTCTTCCCAAATTCACTCTATAAGGATTACATTGCCAAACGGTGGTTAAATACATATCAAATAACAGTCATGATTTATTTAGGTTGATTTTTCTTATCTTGGGGCATGCCTTCTTTCAAAGGATGCTTAAATTTCTGACAGTCTAAATCAAACACACCTCAAGTTCAAATATTTGAAGCTTTGTTGGAGCTGTACTTTGGCTACAGGTCTGGATCTGATAGGAGTTGATTACCTGTCTGTGGAGAAGAAAGACTCAGACACGTTGTTGAGAAATGACAGATCTGAAAGAAGAAATGATTATGAGTAGAGAATATCTTAAATTATAGTTTCTCTTACGTCTAATCCAATGTTCTTTTCCATTATTATTTTTCGTGATCCCCATTTTTCTTTTGCTTGTTCTTTTCTCTCCTCTCTCTTCTCTTTCTCTTATTTTCCTTTCATCCCTCTTTGCTTCCTCCTTCTACCCCACATCCCCTCCTCTACATTTTTTGCCATCTCCTCCTTCCTCCTGGCCAAGCCTTCCTGATAATGACCTTTCTGTTGCGGAGGTCGTGGGATACCCTCAGGCAGCCCTGGGAGAAAATAAGTGTGGAATTTAATTTGGCCCAATGTTTTACCCCGAGGCAGTGGAATTCCTCTCCCTTCTATAGATCAGTGAAATATTGCCCTGTCCCTTGAAGCCACAGGAGAGAGGTTTGACAGGGCGTTTTGTCTGTCTGTCTGTCAGTTTTCACTAGTATACTCCTGCCTCTTGTCATCTCAGTCAATTTTGTACCAATGATGTCGACATTAATAGAGGTCCTGATGGATGGTTATTG